CAATGGAAATGCTGGCAGTAATAGAAGCGAAGAAGACTTTATCATGACCTAGGTACAGTGTGGCTAAATATGGCCAGCAACAGGATCTTGAGATAAATCCAGGAATCCAAACACTGATTTTTCTGTTGGGTTTGTTGTTTTCTCAGTGATTTCTCTCTCTGTCACCAACCTACCAGACACAGATTTGAGGAGATAAAAGGGGTTACAGGACAGAGAAGATGACAAACCCTGAGCATGGCTGGAGCCTGCTGGCAGCAGCGTGCAGCCTCCTCCACAGACCACAACAGTGCAGAATGTCCCTTCACAGCTACGTTAGACTTTGGCTGTGACATCAACATTAGTTTATTCCATCAGCACTTCATTTGATGAAAATTTCCCCTGCAAACTGCTTACCAGACGTTTTTATATCACTGATATTTAGGACAGATGAAAATGCTTTATCTTGAGAAGCTATTGGATACCTAGTTGGATATATTGCCACGTGTGACCAAAAGTTCTGGGATATTTTCTTTGGTGTTATTTTTAAACACTGTACAGGACACAGCTCAAATTGGATTTTCCTGTGTCATCTGACCTAAAAAAATGACTTTCCATTGTTTAATCCTTCTTAAATCATAATTACAGTTGTAAAATGATATGTCATTCTCACAAGCAGGGCCTTGCTGGATTGAGATGGAGCACAGTGTGCGCTTTTAGAGCTTTGCAGTCATTTGCTGCACCATATATAGAGACAACACTCTGAAGGGAAGCAGGAGAAAAACAGAACTGGTACTGCTGTGTTTCTCCTACAGACAGGAAATCAATAACATCGTTTTGATGAAAGGTGGTAGCTGCAGTTCATTTTTGTAAATGCAGCATGTCAAAAATCTATGTAGCATTAACAAAAAATGTTCATGAACTACTTTGAAAAAAGTTATTTTCTTTCATTTGTCTGTAAAATACATTATGCACCTTCAGGTGCAGAGCACCTGACACAAGGCAGCACGGTAGGAACAGCCAACAGGGGAATGGGAAGCATTGTGCAGAGCCAGCATCAAATGGTTTTGCACTTAGATCTCACTGGGAAATGCAAAGTTCTTTGATAACATGTTTGATAACTATTTCAGTAAATGACAAAAGTCACTATCTCTGGCTGTGGGGCAATATGACTTGCCACTAGAAGCTGGAATTGTGCAAGACTTCACTACTGTTACTGGAGAAAAAGCAAATACATAGTCAATGATGTGATTTGGTTTTATTAAATATTTCATTTAATAAATCTACCTTGTCTCATAACTGAAAATGGTGATGAGAATATTTTAATCATAATTTCTTCCAGCTTTAATTTTCAGGAAGATGGTGCTGCTATGCACATGAATTTAAATCTTCATAGCACAAAGAGATTAAATCACTAACAAAAGTGTGTGAATGACGAAGTAATGAAAGGAAAATACCAGAGTACAGAAAAAGTGTAAGATTACAGAAATCATAGCATAAAACTAAAGAAAAATTGAACTTTTTTTGTGTTCTCAGGCTTCAAAGGCTTTTGCATTTCCCAAAGGAGCTCCATTCTCTATTATTACTCCTCAAGAACAAAGAGTATGTAGTCTGAAAAATGTGCAATATTGTTGGTTAGAGTTTTTGAGAAGAGTTAAATTAAGGCAAGACTCACTTATTTATCTTACTCCCTTTTCTTGTGTACCTTCAGTATTTTTAATAGCACATTAATCACCATTCTCTGTAGAAGTTTCCTACAGAATTATATGCATCTGACCTAAGAAGTATTCATCTTAGGTTTAAGGATGATCAGGCAGTGAGTAAGCAAAATTTACGTGTGCTTATGACAAACTAGATTATGTTCTACCTAGTTAAAAGGAATAAATGATGGCTTCCATTTATCCTGCAGGAATCTTCAGTTTTAGAGAAATACTACATTTTCATCTTCTTGGTTCTGTTACCATCAGGAAACTGCAGTTTTGCAGTGTCCTCTGAGTTAGTGTACCTCTCCTCTTGCTTGTGGAGGAAGATGAAGAATAGGAACTGCCTGCCTGGGCAAGCTGTGTCCACCAAACCCTGGCAAAGGTTTCCAGGCATGGCTCAGCGTCTGTAATCAGGCAAACCTTAGGTAACACTATTATCAAAATGGGGGCAAACAAGGTTAATAAAGGCCTACTTTTCTAAGAAAAGTAGCTTTGCATAAAAGGTAAAGTGTTTCTTTCTCTTGATAGTGTGTGCCAGGAGAGGAAAACAACAGCAGCTGAAGGCTCGGGCAGAGCTGCCTTAGACTGTTCCAGTGCTTGACTCCTGATTATGCTGTGGGGAAATCTGGATCCAGTCTTCAAAAATAAATCTTTGCTCTTATATACAACAAAAGAGATGATATATACCAACATTTGCCCTACAGTGGTATTTTTGGAGTGTTATTTTTATGTTCTGATTCAAATGTTTGGGAATGTTGTAAGGCAAGCATTGCTCTGTCTTAGGTGTTGGTGGAGGGTGCAAATGTAGCAGCCACAGCACCTCTGACCTCAACTACCACTCACTGTGTGTCTCAGTAGGGATGTCTGGAGAGGAAGAACTTGTTTCAGTCTGAGTTGAAAGAGAATTTTCTATCTTCTATATTAGTGTGCCTTTAATAAAAGAGACATTGAGACATTACAGTGTGACCTAAAGAAAGACAAGATACAGGTGCCGCTGATTAATCTCACTGTCATAGAGGGGTTGTTCTGCTAATAAAGAAAAGGACATTATGTTCTCCTGCAATATTCTGTCCTTTATAACTTTCAGAGCAAAATAGCTACATACAAAAATCAGAAATTGTATAGTTTACTCATATCCCCTCAGCATTTCTATTTCTCAAAGGGAAGGCAGAGGATGATAACCGAGAATATTGCCTGATAAAGCAGCTTGGTTAACGGTCTGTGGTATTATACTCTTTGTGGTTATCACCAAATTGCAAAAAGCAATATCTAATCTTGACTGGAAAAACAAGAAAGCCAGAGAAAAAAGTGTGTTGTTTTCTGAGATGAAACAATTTCAGTCATCCTTGGAGGCTAAAAAGTTAACATTTCTTTGAATGGCTACAAATATTTGTCTATTGTCCCCAAACGTACTAAGCCAGGGAATATTATCAGGCCTAAAAACTTTCACAACTGACTTTGCACATTAGTAGTTGGATTAATAAAGTTGAATCTTACTTTGTCATGGTATATTGCCTTTGAATTCCCATATAAACCCACAAAAACTATTAAGGTAGTCTAATGATTAAACTATGCTGAGCTAATACTCAATGGATACAAGTGCAGTTACTAAGCAAAGTTGCTTAGTACAAATGCTTCATTCCTTGGTATCCCTCACACGTACAAGTTATCATTCATTTTCTGTTATATTCATTTTCAGAATCAGAAATTCTTAGATACATTAGCTTATAAACATTTTTCACTTTGAATCTGTAGACATCCACCTAGAGACAGAAGATAACAAATAATAGGAGTCAAACAGAGGAGAGGATTTATATTGTGGGTGAGCACATAAACTGCTGTTTTACCCGAATTTGTTCCTTCCTGCATTAGCATTTTTTACATTAAGAGGATATGGTTTCATTAAAATGTTATCTACTGCTTGGTTTAAATACCAAGCATTTTCCAAAAGTGAACAGAAGAATTTGTAAATGCGTTTTCCAAACTGAAGAGATTTTTTTAGTAGGGACACATGAGTTTGTCTTTCAGAGACCCCCTGTGGTGCAAAGAGACTATATGTGATCAATACCAATGCCTTGCCTGTGATTATCTATTCTGGCACTCTTTCTACTGATTCATTTTCCATGCTTGTTTAGTCTAAAGCTTCCCGCAGTAGGAGCCTGCTGGCTGTACTCATGCAGAGATAGTGGCTATCATGGATATCATTTAAGAATTAATTGTTTGTGACGTGCACAAATTAAATAAATAGGACCACATAGTTCCTGAGTGTTGAACTGGCATTAATTCCCAGAATGAAAAATGGAGGCTGACTTCTCTTAAAAACTACACAGGATGGATGCAAAAATTTTCCCTTAATGACAGATCAGAATTCATCATCTCTCCTGATTTGGCTGCTCGTGCAGGCAGTGGCTGAAGGCTTTTACAAGATAGACAGTAATTCCATATTTAGTCTTCAGAGTCACTTCAAACAAGCTGATTTAAAAGCAATGTGCTAATATTGATGTTAAATTATCCTCATGGAGCACAAATTGTCACTGCTCTTCCCTCTTTAAATATTTTACAGAGTATTGCTCCTCTTTATCTTAGGGAGATGTGAAAGGCAAATTGTCAGGCAACACTAACCAGAGTAACAAGCTGTAGGATGCACCGTCATGCATTGAAATAGTTTTATGAATCAAGTTTTACTGAACTACTGAAGACAGCACCAATATTCACAAAAGTGCTGTGTTGAATACTGCAACACCTGACTCTGACTCTCATCTGCCAGTCCAAGTAGTTCCCCAGCCTCAGATAAAAGGCGGGATGCTGGGAAAGTCACCAGTTTGCTGATACTTCCAAACCACTCTGCTCGATGAAGGAAGGCAGATTAAGACATGAGGAAAAACCAGCTCAGTATTCAAAAGCCTTGTTCATCCATAATGCTAGGAAGTGGGAGTTTTTTTCAGGTAGCACAGCTGGGGAATCATTCTTAGGGTGGAAGAACCAAAGTGAATCTCAAGTTTTCAGCTCCTTTTGTAAACACAGCGTTAGGCTGCAGAGCCCTTCTCCTGCTCTGAGAAGTGCAGTGTGCTCTCATCATCAGTGATTTTTTTCTTGCATTTAAACAACTTTATCTCATCCTTCCAGTTTTTGGCAGGCAGTTGGGCAGCATCTTTCTGTTCAGGCTCATTTCTTTTGTAGTTATCCTAAGTATTATAACACTCTACAATTCTTATGAGATACATTAATCATTAATTACATTAGAGATAAGTTTTGCTTCATGGAAACTAATCATAAAATCAGAGAATACTGCAGTAACACTGAACATGTCTATTTTGTTAGACCACTGTATCTTGGGATGGAGATAAACTTCTTTGTGTACAGAATGGAGAAAAAGAAGGTCGTGGTTGGACCCAGTGGATTGAAGGAGATAAAATGCACCTGGTAAGATCATGTAAGAGGTTTTAAATGCCATTCTCTTAAAATGGTTGGATGTGCTGTTGTTTGGGCCTACTTGGACATAATTATGTATCGGTGCAGCATTTGACTTGTTTCTAAAGCAACAATGTCTTTTGGAGCCATTCCACTTTTGTGTCCCTTACAAAGACTGGTGGTTTCAGAGCACTACTCTGTCTGTTTTAACTGTCTGTCCAGATATGCCAGGCTGAAATGTTCACACTGAGGAAGACATTTAACAGAATGTCCCTCTCACAGTCTCTGAAATACTCAGTATGGGAGCTGGTAAAATTGCACACCCAACAATAAGGGGAAGATACATCATTGTTCTTTTAAAATAATTACAGGTCACACTGCATTATAGCCTGCAGAACTGAAACAGCAATTAAGTTTTTGAAATGTATGTTCTTTCAGATCATAATTTTTATCTTCCTGAATTAACAGGACCTGAAAGAAGATGCCTGTTCTTTTATCCTATAAAGCTTTATAGCAGCCTCACTCTCTCATCAGTGTGGGTAAAAGGCAGTCTTCCTGCTGAGATAGTAAAATCCAGCATCCATTTCTGTTCAGGACTATTAGCATTCAGCAGCCTAAATGGATGGTCTCTAAATATTCAAATCAGTAGCAGAGCTATGAAATCTTTGCAAAAGTACCGCAAACCTCTACTAAACACTATTTTTAGGAAGTCTCAGAAACCAGTTCAGGAAAGGAATATATTTGACATCTTACTCGCTGGACTAGGTACTTGATCTAGTGCAGGTAGGGAGGAAGTTGCTCAGTGATCACCTTAGAGCTGAGGCCCTGGGCTCACACAAAGTAGGGGACCAAGCAATAAGGAGAGTCCAGAGTTGCCTGTGCATACATTCCCAATGCTATTAAGCACATTACAGTATTTCCACACGGCCTCCCAGCTTCCCAACAGCTGCTGCCATGACACTGAGCATCAGTCCTTTCAGATTCTCTGCTGGCAAACAGGTTGCAATGACTCATTACAATGTCTGGCCTAGAAGTTCAGCTTACACCTTGCTGCACTCAACCATGCACATATATGCACTTCTCTGAAAGATATATGACATATGTGAAACAAGAGCACTAGTTGCTCTTGCATTTCTCTGTGTTGGCATCCTGGTTTCTCTCCCTCACCAGCTCTGCAGTCATTATCTCTTCCCATCTCCTGTCCCCAGCATGGATTTCTTTAGTCCTGAGTGCTGCTATCCACACAACCTGCCCATGGACCTCCAGCCCAGACCACTTTCTGTGCTTGTCCCTGTCAAGAGGTTGATTTTAGAAGTCAGAAAGTGAGATTCAGTTTCTCAAATATATGTGTCCAGTGCCACTCTGGGTACCCCAGGGTAATCTGACTGACCTGGGGCTCCTTCCAGAAGGCTGTGCAGGGTTCCTTGTCACACCTGCAGCTCATGCAGGCATCATTGTACTCGTTGGCACTTGTACAATTTATCACAATCTGTCTCAGAACTCAGTATAAAATTACTTCATGCAAAAAGTATTTTAGAGTCCACTCCCCAGTATTTCAATTTTATCACTTTTTATATTTCATGAACTTCAAAAGACATCCTCTTTACTTCTCTGAATCCCTGTTAATGTAACTCTCTCCATTAAAAACACAGTAAAGAGTCCCATTTCATACCTTCTTTTTGACCAGCTAAGGTAACTAGGGCTTGTGCTTTTGAGAGTGCTTTGATAGAATGAACAGTTACCTCTAAAAAATTGATACTTCGATAGCTTTATGATCCTATTGAACTTTACACAATGAGCCAAGTGTTAATTCTTCCACAGTTCTGTAGAGAGTGATACCACATCTTTTAGTATTTTATTGTTTCCTATTTCCCTCATTTCATTCTATGGTCTGCACTTTGTAGTTCTTTTTCCTCCTTAGATTTTATTTTATGTGAGTGACTTATTTGGCCATTCTCCATTTCCTTTTGAGTTTTATTGCCCTTTTCTATTGTATTGATTGCTTCTGCTCTATAGGTTTTTGTCACTGTCAGCAGATCTCTTAGCCCTTATTGCACGCTCCTTCTTCTGGGTTATCCATAGAGTAGTGAACAAAACAGGTCCCAAGTAAAATCAGTGTATTGGTCTGCTTGGTGCACCAGTTCATTATGAAGCACTGTCTCCTCTCGGGGTCCAGCAACATATGTCAATAAGGTTATCCACTTAATGTAAGGTTTTTGATGTCATTTTATCAGAGTAAGTCTCCCATAAGAAATGTGCATAACTTCCTCAAAGTATTCCGACAGCTTTATTAAAAGTCTTGTCCAGAAAGTACAACCATCCCTTCTGCTGGGTCATACATAACCTTTGTCTTTGTGTTCCTTAAGAGCTTCTGTGCTGTTTTTCTTCCACCTAAACCAGCTGAGCCATGCACACATCCCATGTGCACACATCCCACACGGACAACCTTGGAGCCCTTCTCAGGTCAAAGTTCAATAGCTTCAGTACTAGAGAAGGGTAAGCAGGTGAACAGCAGCACCTCACAAATCAGAGGCTGGGATGGGAACATCATTGCACCTGCTTATGCCCAATTCACAGGGATCCAGTGCCTGGCAAGTGGGGATTTTTGGAAAACTCTTAGGGAACACAAAGGAACAGTAGAGAGCATTAGGCATCCAGCGTGCTCAGGTTCAGACTTGCTGCTGTGCTGCTTTATCAACTCCTGCACACCTGTGCTTTTGTCCCATGATCTCTGTGTTGCCTGAGTGGGCCTTCAGCCTGTGTCTGGTTTGGAACATTCAGAACTGGTCAGTCAAATCCACCTCTGCTTCTTTATGTGTCCAAAACAGAAATGCCCATTGCAAAGATCTAAGCAGTTGCATAAACTGCAAATAGAGAATAATGCACAATATTTGGCCCTTTAAGATCAGAGGTCCCAAAATAACTTTTCTTGCTCCATCTTTTACCAGAAAAAAAAACCCAAACCAAATGGTTTCTTTTAGGATGAAAAATAGGCAAAAATATGTACAAGCCTCCCAAACTAATTTAATAGAAAATTGTGGATTCAAATTAAGGTGGACATACACATGAATCTATAATCCATGTGTTCTAAGTAAAAGTTGTATTTTTTAATTATTTTCTCTTCTTAGGAAATAAGAGCATGTGGAGTAATGTGTAAGCAGGTCTTTAAGAAGGTACAGTGAGCCTACTGCTGATACAGAAGTGAAGAACAGTAGAATCTACAGACTTACCACCAAATCTCCAAATGCTAGTACTGAACATCATCAGTGACAAGAGCAAACACAGAAATGAAGATCACATTAGAAATGTATAATTAGAATAAAATATTTTTAAGAAATAACTTTGAAAAACTGACTGCAAATAAAAGTATTTTTAGAAATGCCAATAAAGATACTAAATGCTATAAATGTGTGCATATCATAATTCTTGGCTACACCAAAACAGGACTTTCTGGTGTAAAACAAGAGGCTGGAGTTGAAGACCTTGTAAGCTAATTTTTGACTCTCAATAGACATCACCCTTTCACAGCCTTAGCAAGGGGCATCCACGTAGTCTTGTTGTCAAAAGCTGAACTGTAGTTGTAGGGAAAAAAACGAGAGCTGCAGGATGAGCTTACACTTACATCCTGAATTCAGTGAAGCCAGTGAGGATTTGACCATTAGCTCCAATGGAGCAATACTGCACTGGAAGTGTTCCACTAAAAATAAAAATCTGATTTCTCAAAATGAGTAAAGTTATGGATCGATAGTCTGCAAAAACACAGAAGCATGGCTAAGGGGCAATTCTTTCCTAAACACTTTAGCAAATACCTGCCCTTGCATTTTTTTTTCTTATTCTTGAGAAACTACGAGTAGGATCATGCTAGAAAGTGTATATACTGTACACACACACACTGCAGATATGACTGGCGTTGCTTTGTACCATATAATTTGCAGAGCTTTTTATGACCCATCGCAGTCCTCAGTGGAGACTGAGCGTGTAGCAAAGCATTGGCTGAGCTGTTTCCTGTGCTGGTTTAAACATCAGTTGCAGTAATAATTTCCAAAGCACACTGTTGTATTTTCAGTCCATCAACACACTGGATAAGCAATTAGCGCCACCACTTCACATCGAGTTCAAAAAGAAACAAGGATACAGGGTGTCTGGTTGGATCAGACCTTCAGTATGTAACAGAATTCCAAGTGTCTCCTAGAACAACTGTTACCAGCCATTTTCCAGGACTCAATCAGTGGGGAAGTTGCTGTGGCAGAGTTTGAGGTGTTTTTTAAAGTGTTCTAAGACATTCTACCTTTCCCTACTCTTCTGCAGCTCCTGTGCACAGCATGGTTTTTGTCTTCCTTGGGAACCCAGTGCTGACAGAGACTTTATGCTGCCATTCTCTGCTACTCAGGATCTGCTTTAAAATATGCACTATTATTAATCCTGTTTAGGAGCCTGATCCAACATGAAGGAAAGGAGGTTCAGAAACAGTCATTGTAAACTGTGAGGTCAGCACAGCAGGGATGATAAACTTTGTAAACTATGGTATTTCAGTAGTACTACATTTACAGTGAGTTTAGCCCCAGATGTGCTGTAATGGATATCTAAATCAATTTTCTAAAGTTTTGGGGGTTGCTCTACTTCAGAAAGTACACAGAAGATATTATTCATGAAGATTTAAGCATCCCCATGTGATAAACAGGTGAAAAACACTCCCTCTCCATATAAATTCTTGTGTTACTATTGCAACAGCTGTGGCTCATATACTTAGAATTCCAGACAATTGTTTACTTTTTTCCCCTGGAATTTTTTTTTCTTGGCAATACTCTTCCTCATACTGAGGAAGTTTCGGGGAATTATGCTTGGCTTAGTCAACCAGAAACATGCAGAAGTTGTTTTTCTCTCATGGAAGAGTATGTCAGCCATGTAGCTGTGTTTCCATGGCTAAATGGACACCCCTCCTAACTGACACATAGACCAGCAGTTAATGGTGTTTAAGTTTTCTTGTATGTGGAGTGGTACAGGTTACAATTAAATAAAACAAAAAGGTACCAGGAGAGGGAAAAGGATCAGAAACCTGTGGATCTCAGGTTAAAAATCTCTGCTTAAGTGAAATTGCAAATAGTTGTCTACTTAAAATCCTATGCAAGGTTGGGGATTTCCCAGCTGCCAAATTTCAGTGCATCAGTCATTTGTTTTTCTTGAAAGATTATTGGACACAGAAACTTCTTTCCTGCAAGTTCCTAATTATGGATTTCATAATCATGGACACCCTCCAGGTATCTCCCCACTCTTCAGCTCAAGGAAAGCAAGAGAACAACGGAAAATAATGGAAAATAAGTAACTGTAATAAAGTGATTTTTGGATAGTGACACCACTAGCCAAAGTTAAACTTTGCATAATTCTTTTAATGTTCAGCACTGACTGAGACCTTTTTTAAAATGTAGTTTTCCTTCAATAGAACTTTGCAGTTCATAACCCTTAATTCACCAGCTGTCTTCTAATTTTTGCCTGCAGTTCTCTGCAGTCTTGTGTAACATTCACAAACTCTTTTTGCAGAAGGTTGTAAGTGGATCAATTAACATCTAGCTAAGTAAATCCAATTGTTAAAAGCTATTATTATTGTAATCAAACAGACAGCTTTTCCCCTTTGGGTCATTTGGTACAAGGGCAAATTTAGCACTGTACTAATAACTAATGGCTTATCAACCAGGAGCAATGTAACCTGCTGTAATTATGGAGAAAAGGCAAGCTCACAAAGTACTTCCACAGCTCATGGACGTAAAATACAGAAACTTCAGAAATATTTAACTTTTAATACATTGGCTTCAAATCAGCTCAATTGCTTGTCATGATAATTGTAACCTCTTATCTCTCCTGCAGCAACCCTTTCCCTTGGAAAAGGAAATTATGTTCATTCATTGCTTCCACGACGATGCTTTCCAACTGATGTGTATAAAATGAACCATGCTGCTGCCACGAACCATGAACAATTAAAAATGTACCATAAAAATGTAGTCTAAAACTTTCTCCATAAAATAAATGCTTGCTGAATGTATAGCACTCAACAATCACCTGACAAACATCAGCCTCCCTGACTATTTTCATAACTACTTAGTAGCCAAGACCTTCACAGTGAATTCATATCCACATCTGCTTAACTACTCAGGAATCAAACTTCATATCGATTTTCTTGATCTTGCACAGAATTTCAGCTGTGGTTTGCCAGTACCAACTCTGTATTTCTGCAGAACTGCATTCCTTCCAGATAATGGAAATTTTTTATTTTGCAGGGAAAGACCGGTGCCCACAGCAGCAGGGTGAATGGAAAGGCAAAAAGGTGCATTGCACCATTTCTAAAAGTTAAATTCAGTATTGGTTTTATTCTCGATCCAGAAACCTCTAGGTGAGAAAAGCTGAAGAATAAAGGCCAATGTGTTCCATAAGGCTGATTGTTCTACTTCAGTTCCCCCGGTTGGGGATTCGTGTGCATTTTCTAAGTGGGTATGATCTTCTGAGGATGATTGGGGAACTCACTGCTACATTTCATGATTGTGTGGCTTTTCAGTGAAGGACACGTAGAAGGAATACACACTTTCTGTCTCTATAGCACATGAAGGCATGTTGTGGGTATGAAGTTTCAGCTTTACAGAAGAAGTGGAGAGAAAGAACCATGTTTTTAGCAATCATGGTGCAAGAGAGCAGAATCATTGAATGGTTTGGGTTGGAAGGGACCTTAAAGACCATCCAGTTCCAACCCCCCTGCCATGGGCAGGGACACCTTCCACTAGACCAGGTTGCTCAGAACCCCAACAAATTGAAACTTTTAGTAGTGGCATGTAAGGAAAACAGGATGGTCTTATAAGAGTAGGAGGAGAGGGAAGGGTGAGAAAGAAAGAAGAAAAATTAGTAGCACTAATATTTTTAATAAATTGATCATGTTTGATAGAATAATCTGTACAGATTATATTTTCATTTGGAAACCAGTTTGATTTCTGTTTTATATGAAGAATTCAAAACATATATATTAGTTTTAGTGGGGCAAATAAGAGTATAAAGCCTTTAACTCACTACTTGAAGACTAGATGTTTGATATGAGTACAAATCTAATCTAATCTATACAAAATACATGTGTGTCTAGGGACTGTAAATGTTTTGTTTCTGTATTCTAAAAATCCAGGATTTTTTATTAGATAACAAAATGTTTTGCCAGCAGGAAAGAACACAAATGAAGCCAGATTCCATTACCTAAAGAGGTATTTGAACATCAGTTATTGATGCTGTTAAATTAATGGTATTAATGAATCTTTTGAAATGCCTTTCATGTTGCCAGATCATTTCATCAGCAGATTTATTCTGCAGTGTCATGTGTGCAGAACACCATCCTTTGTGATTTCCATAAAATATGACTAACATGATACCACAGTGTTGTCCCAGACTTTACTGAGCTGCAGCTGAACCCAGAATATGTTCTCTTTGGATTGATTAGCCTTCACCATATTTTTTTCATGAAACTCTCCAATGACTTGTGGGATCAATGTAAACAAAACAGCCTCTGTCCCTTGTTGAGGAAACACCTCTTTTTGTTTGCTTGAACCTGCTACTTGCTATTAGAATGTAATTTCTCCTAATTCTTGTAATGCAAGAGATACCAAACAGCCATTCTCTGTCTTGTCCATGCCACTCAGATTTTCTTTACCTCTTCTAGTGTATAAACTTGACCATTTTCTTTCCTAGAGGCTTTTGTTTAAAACATCTGAATATCAGTGTTCTAATTTCAGTCCACACCAGTGAAATACTCCATCGAAACACGTGGACTAGGAGCAGCTCTTACAACCTAAGCCATGGAAACCAGACTTGAAATAAGAGTTGGGTTGCAGTCTACATTTATGCAACAGTCCAGCTTTGAAAGCTGGGAAGGAGGTGCTTACTGTGATCTGTGTAACAGTTTTATTGTAAAAGCAGCACGAGGGGGTTGAATGGCAAATACCTTAAAACGAGAAGGTGCATTAGATTCCTGAAGAGTCTCCCATGGGACTGAGCAGTAGAGGGTGATTGATAGTCTGCTGGCATGACATGAATGATGTGCTCCACCAGACACATCCACTTCCATCAATCATTTGGTTCACTCTGCTATATGAAACTCAAGCTGACAGTAAAAAGCAACAGTTCTCCATTACAACATTAATAAAATTTGCTAGTATGTATCATATTGTATTATATTCTTGTTTTGGACAGCCTCATCTGTAATCACATAACAGACTCACAGCTATTCATCCTTTCATCCTCTGTTAGTAGCACATTTGTCTTGGAATACTATCTCTGTGGTACAGCTATTGCTATTTTCAGGTTTTTTAACCTCAAAGCAAATATTCATTTAAATAATTTACTCCTGTCTAGCAAAAGTGCCCACAAAAGCAGAGT